GGCCAAGCCCTTGTGATCGCCCTCCTTGAGCATGTGACCTTAACAGACTTGGTGATTACAAACACATGTACGGGGATCTTCCTGATCCTTCCATTCCACTGCTACTTGAGGCTGAGCGACCCTTCCAGATGGCTTGGGCAAGAAACTTCCGACAAACTCAGAAGAGCTGATGCAGACCTCCAGAGGTTGCAAAGAGCCCAATGGATGAGCATTGAAATGCTCAAGGTAGTAGATTCACTGATCAATCGGTTGAAGATCAGATTCAAATGTAAAGTACCAAATGTTTGATAGTAGTCAAACCACATGTAAACTTCCGAATTTTCATTAACATACCCACATCGTGTAAACAACCGAATTGCAATGCATCCTCTTCCATTTCCAATTGAGTTCCAGAGGCTCAGGAGTCCCAGGTGTTGAACACGAAGTGTAAGTCTCACTTTGGCTCACTGAGTCCCAAGTGTCAACACCAAAGTTCAATTCTCACTGTCCAGAGGATCACCAAGTCCTGAGTTCGATTTGAAGATCAAATTCGGGACTCGGCAATCCTCTGTACAGCGAGAATTGAACTTCAGTGTTTGACACTTGGGACTCGGTGAGCCAAAGTGAGACTTACACTTCTGTGTTCAACACCCAGGACTCCTGAGCCATGAAGATTGAATAACATTGACATGTACATAAAGGCAGGCAGTGTAGTATCAGTCCATTACTTCTTTTCCCTTGCTCTTGTCACTTGAGAGGTATTGTCTGATGGCTGTTGAGTTGATTTACTCCGGGTTGTCCTCACTGATGGCTCAATCGCCAGTTTTTTTCCCCACATGTTTTTTGGCACCAGAGACATGTGCCCTCCTTCCATTCCAACATCCTCCTCAAATTGCCAGTGACTCTGTCAGTCAACCCAGCCAGGAGGTCACCCGTTCGTGATGTCAGCAGTGCACCAGTTTTCACTGGCTTGACTGGGCGAGGCTTTGGAATTGCATGTGGGACTGCTGTCCCTTCATGTGCTGTTGAAGGACCTGGCTCTCTTCTGGGTCTCTTTTGCAGGGATCTACCATCAGCTGCATCATCATCAACATCATCCTCCATGTGATGAGAGTCACTCTTGGGATTACTCCCAGGATTGCTCTCGGTGTTGGTTGACGAATTCCAAGGCCTTCGGATCATCTGCTTTCTGACTTTACAGGTCCGATGAGAAGGCGAATTCCTGGACACAACCGATGCTACCATGTCTCCATCTTTGTTCTTCCATGCTTTGAACGGGAATGTTGGTCCTTCGCCTTTCTCCTGCTGAGCATGCCAGAAATTGAGTAAGGCCATAGTGTCCCAATTTTGCAACTTGGAAGGCTCCTTCAAGTCCACATCCACTGGAACATACTTCCTTGCCACAAAGTCATTGTGACTTTGTATGATGGTGCTCCATGGCACGACTGCCTTGTCACTCCCGGAACAGATCCCTGTGTCCATGCATTCAACAAATTCTCAGGTGTTGCAATGATAGACTCACAATAGTGTGATGTAAGAAATGCCCTCACTATGGCCTTCTTCTCCTTGAGTTTCATTTTGGTGATGTCCAGAAGCAATGGCATCCCATCTCCATCGGTTTCCAGTTTGAAAGCAGGCTTTCTGATTCTTTTTCAACCTCCCTTCATCTGTCATCCTCCATCCCATGCCCCAGCACCTATCATCACGATGATCAACAAATTCCTTCTAGTAGCCAGAGTAAAAACACTCACCAAACTGTTCCTGCGTGTACTCCTGCCAAACCGGCTTGATGTCCTCCCAGTTCTTCATCTTCATGAAGCTGTCCCCATCTCCTAATGCCTCATTATCATCATGCCTGCATGACATAAATTGAGATCAAAGATCTGCAATGGCCAACACATTTCACTTACATCCTGAACAGCACCTCCCCCTGTTCATTCTTCCAAGCCAACATCACAAACACTCTCATCCTGCATTGCCTCCACATCTCCTTCGAAAAGTGCTCCATATATGCAGGTCCCTTCTTACGAGCGACTTGTGCCTGTATCTCAGGAGGAGGAAAGTTGTTGGACCATTCTTTGGCTGTTTCCTTTGCCTTCTCCAACTTGTCATCAGACAATTCAGCCATGACTCTCTTCACAGCTGCCTGATAATGCTTGAACATACCAGGACCTCCTGGCTTTGCCCCAGACTCATCCTCAATCCTCTTTAGCACCTCTTCCCAGTTCCACTGGTAGATCACCATCCTAGGGGTCCATTTCCTCCCATACTTTATCATGTCCTTCCTTTCCTTCTTTTTCCTGTTGTTGAACAACCAAGTCTTGTATATCTGAGCATTGATGGAAGAATAAGATATTAAAATTTTAGTTTTTCAACACAGTGAGGATGAATCACCTGCTTCCTCTTCTTCCATTGTGCTTGGTTGACCTTAGGAGCAAATAACCTGGCAGCCCTAGCTATGGCAGTGAAAACTGCTCACCTCTCTTTCCATTTTGCTGAAGTCCACTCAGGAAAGTAGTTCTTCAACTCCGAAATTTCATTTTCTGTGAGCTTCTGTGTCTGTGGTTGACATGCCCTATGTCTTCCAGAAGTCAACTGAGTGGAGTGACCTGATCTTGCCATGGTGAATGAGATTGCAGAATGGGCTGAGGATAAGCAAGGTGTAAGTAATAATGGTGACAAGTCAAACTTTGAGCAAAGCCTAACAGTTGGTTAATCAACCCATATTGGATGCAATGCCATTAGTGGAAATGAATTTGTAATGATGCATCAAGACTGCATAACATCATATTGCAACAACAATTCATTTGACCTTCCTGAGCTAATGCTTTGCTTGCAACATCAGAAAATAAGATGAAGATAGGTAGATGCACCCCACTGCAAAAATCCCACAGGGTAGAAGCAAGGGGCAGCAAGGGTAGGAAAACTTGGGTCAAGGTCCCACTTGTGAGCACAAAACAACATGCCTACAGGTCCATGCCTGACTCTCCCCCAGAATCACCAACACTTCAGCCTGTTGAGGCACCACCTCCTTGGGAAGACTTTCCTGACAATGCTTATGAGCATGACCAAGGCTCATTTGAGCCTTTGCAACTCCCAAAAACCATGGCAAGTTCATGTAAAATGTTGGATTGTCATTCAAATGATAGCTAAGCATAAAAAATGCAAAGTCAGAATGACTACCTCAGGCAATGGCTGCCAAGGCAGGAATCATATCTGCATCACCTCCTGGATTGAGAAGCTCCACCAGAAGATAGGAGATGCATCATCTGCAACCAGGATGGGGTCTACAAATGTCAAGATTGTCTTGGGGAGCCACTATATTGCACTGGCTGTTGCAGGAGTCAACATCATTGCAATCCTTTCCACTGGATCAGTCAATGGAATGGTCAATTCTTTGAGCAGAGTTGTCTCACCCATGTTGGACTTGTCATACACCTCAGTCATGATGGCAAACAATGTCCAGTCCTCACAGATAGGTGGGATTTGTTCGAAGAAGACGAGCATGAAGACCAGCTTGAGCCTGACGATCAACCATCTGTGTCGGGACCCGAGTTCCAGCCAAAGGAAAACACCATGGTCATCATTGACAAGTCTGGAGTTCATTGTCTCAAGGTTCAATGCTGTGATTGTCCAAATGCCATGAGTCCAGACATTCAAATGTTTTGACATGGATTTTTCCCCACATCATTTAACAAGCCAAAGACTTTGTTCACCTTCAGGGTGCTCAATGATTTTCTATTGGACAACCTTGAATGCGGCACCTCAGCAATAAACTATTACAGCAAGCTCTGGTGAATGACCTCAAGCATGTTTCCACATCTTGTTCCAGTAATGCCAAATCTCCAACATCTAAAGGACATTATATTGACACAGCATGCAGCAAGGACCGATACAGAGAGCTCATGAGAGTTGCTCAACAGTGGAGGCAGTTGAAGGCCATGAAATGGCATGGATTTGGCCATCATTCTGACAACCCGAATGTAGGAGATCTCACATTGTTTTGCCCCACATGTCCTCAGCCTGGGATTAATGTATCCTTGTCAGGGGATGAATCACTTGATGAGTGAGTCTAGTTCGATACAAAAGTCACCTCAGCTATAATAACAACTCCAAGCTGGAAATACACCTGGTCATTTGTTATGGATGGAAATTTCAAAGCAGAACACCTGCATCCCATCAAGCCATTTGATGAAGTGTGGCTTTCTGATGGGTTGGGATTCATGGTGGGAAAGGACAGGTATAAAACCCATCTTGCGGAGGCTGCTGACACATTGGAAAAATCGAGCTACAACAATCACCGGGCAGTGAATCAAGCAAATGTGGCTTGGCACAAGCTGGAGTCCATGGGAATTGGGGGAGTTGCCTGTGCCTGACATGGTTGCTTTGTCCCTCACTTGATGGTAGATTTTCAGAAAGGCAAAAGGCAAGCCAACCATGCCATTCTACATTAATGAGTTAATGGTGCATCATTTGCAGACAAATGAACATGGATTATGCCCTTTGTGAGGCTGCCCAGCACAACATGGAAGGCATAACCAGGGCTGTCACCTTCTATGACATCAACTGTCAATACAACAAGCACTTTCGGGTTCGGGTGGATCAAAGCCAATTTCTCAAAATGGTTCCAGAATTGACCATCATTCCTGGAATCAGGTTGTGGCATGTCCACAGACATCAGGACAGCTGCTATGTCCGATATGCATTGAATTTTATTGAAGGCATTGGTTGGATTGATGATGAGATCATGGAGACCCTATGGTTGCGTCTCAACCTGATTTCCCCTGCTGCTCGGGGAATGTCATCCCCACATTGAAAGGAATGTTTTGATTATCAGATGAATGATTCCAATTTCTGCAAGATGATCCACATGAAAAGGACTCTTTGCCGTAAATACAAGCAGGCAAGGAATGGTATCACCGAAAGTGAAAAGGCTTTCAACAGACTTGATGAAGCAGTGCCCGCAGCTTCAAAGAAAGAATGGTTAGCCAGCGAGAGGATCGCTCAGTCCAGCAGAATAAATGATCCTGTGGTGATGGATGTATATGAGATTAATATCAAGAAGGGTAAGTTGACTTTGGCTACATCGAAGTCAGAATTAATTGTTGCACTCAGCACTGAGCAAAAAGAAGATTGAGCTTAGACTGCTAGAGGAGGGTAATGCCCATAATGCAGCACCTGCTTGCAGATCAGTGGCAATTGAAGAGGCTCAAATTGCATTGGTCATCGAGCTCTGAAGAATTGGAAGAAGAACTACAGAGACACAGAGATTAGACATTGCCCGGCAATGCAATCGTCTCCAAGGCCAGATAGATGGATTCACTTGGTCTGCTCTTATGCATCTGGGAGAGGGATTTGATGTAGATGACGATCCTGATGACTTGAACGTAGATGTTCTCGATGTTAAGAACCATGCTCAAGGGAGAGAGAGACTGACTCAGAGGGGCTTGACCTCAGCTTGTATGCTGTGCCCCTTACCCAAGTATGTGCCCTTCATTTCAGAGGAAGTCCAAGGATGGTCTGACAAAGTCCAGAGGACTTCCGGAGGAGTGCAGGAGAGTTCTGGAGGAATGTAGGAAGTGCTCAGGAGAGTTCCCACTGCAAGGTAACACTTCTACAGGAAAACAGGATGGAAGGATAGGAGGTCCAGAGGTCCAGAGTATGGAGGACAGGAGGTCCAGAGGTACAGAGGGTGGAACGTCTGAAGGACAGGACACCTGGAGGTATGAGGGACAGGACGCCCAGAGGTATGAGGGACAGGAGGTCCGGAGGTCCAGAAGGAATAGGGGCTACATTGGATGAGGTCTGATACAGAAGCAAACAGAGGTAGACTACCCTAAGGTAGAGTCAGAGGGACAGGAAGTGGACCTAAGTCTGGAAAGAGGGCAAGTGCCGGAAAGGCAAGACTCTAGCCTAGGGAAGCAATCCCTAGACCTGGGACAGAGACATAGGGGACAAATCCGAAGGTCCAGAATTCTGGCCTAGGGAATCCTTCCCTAGGCCTTATGGAAAAGGATGAGACTCAGATGGACTGAAGTCCAGAAGATGATTGGCAAGTAGAACAGGATCTAAGATGAGAGAGCAGGAACTAAGATGATATTCAGACTGAGGACTCTACTGTAGTTGTACAGGGGTTATATACTAAAGGCTATCTGAGAGGATCAGTAAGCAAAGGAGTAAGGCTATGTACGAGCATGTGGAAACACATTGGTAAGTAAGACAGCACATAAGTAAATGAACTTGGAGATGAAACTAGTACAAGGATCAATCAGCAAGACAGAAACAGAGATAACCGAGAACTGGAAAGGCAGAGATGCCTAAATGGGGATAGGCGCAGGATCTCAGATGGAGGGTGGGAATGGTCTGGAGATCTGGGGATCCGGAAGGCAGGGCAGAAACAGGACTGAGATATGTGAGGTGGTGGATGTAGTCTGGAATCCAAGAGGAGGTAAAGTCCAGATGTCTTGCTGGACGGAATGTGCGTAGGGTGGACAGGATAGGGGATCCAGGAATGAGTTGGATGTGGGGTCCGGAAATAGGTCCGGAAAGCGTGGGAATATGATGGGATCTATGTCTGGCATGCAGGATATGACAGCACAATTTGATGTTCAATATCCATCAGGTAACAATATATATTACACACCTGGGTGGCATCGGTCAGGGTGTCCAGGACATACCATGCGATGATGGCACCGGATGCATCAAGAATTGTTGCGGGTATCTCCACTAACTTTGTGCCCTCATGGCCAGGAGGACACCTCTCAAGCAACTTCTCCTCTCTCTCTTCATTATGCCTGGTGTCCTTTGGGGAGATCACTTTGCTGTATCTTGCAACATTGATCTGCATCTGAACTGTGATGAAGCAATTTGACTGATAAAACAAATTTTCTGAATCCACAGGAAGACCCACTGGGATTTTTATATGCCTTTATCAGGCAATCAACCAATCAATTGCAAGCCATCACCAGATCAGTGTCTAGGTTTGGAGAAGGTATAACTGGGTCTCCTCCTGTCTTCTCTGCATTGAATTTCCATTCAGTATATTCACATGCCTCATGAGTGACAGTCAGGGCCCAAGTGTGCCAGAGGGTTATTTCAATATCGGAAGTGGAAGAAACAGTCATGATGGAATTGATCTTGGGAAATCAGACACCAAACCCTGCATGTCCACACTTTGGAGTTAAAGAGGGTGGAGATAGCAAGGATCAGATAAGGGAGCCTTGCATGATGTTATTTTCCAAAGATGTGTTATCATCCATTGCTTAATGAAATACCAGATGATTGGAAGTGTGCTGGATATCAGATATTTGTTTGTCAAGACCCGGGCCTCAGATCTCGGTACCCTTCACTTGATATTTGGTAGTCGGAACTTGACTTCTCGTAGGGCAATGCATGCTGTGTGCATTAGCTACTTGGTAGTCGGTGCTGCATGTTCGTGTCTCTACTGGGTGCTTGATTTTCTGGCACTTGTGACCTTCATCATTAGATGACTTTGAATTATTACCTCCTTTGATTTGGATGATATACAACTACCTACAAAACTCATACATTTTTATGACTTCTGAGTTTTGGGTTTCAATGTTCGGGGTTTGATGTTTGGGCTTCGGGACCCAGCACTCGGC